TGGTGTGTCAGTGAGGTGTACAGCAGGTATCAGGTGTGTGTGTACCTGGTGTGTCTGTGAGGTGTACAGCAGGTATCAGGTGTGTGTACCTGGTGTGTCAGCGAGGTGTACAGCAGGTATCAGGTGTGTGTACCTGGTGTGTCTGTGAGGTGTACAGCAGGTATCAGGTGTGTGTGTACCTGGTGTGTCAGCGAGGTGTACAGCAGGTATCAGGTGTGTGTACCTGGTGTGTCAGTGAGGTGTACAGCAGGTATCAGGTGTGTGTGTACCTGGTGTGTCTGTGAGGTGTACAGCAGGTATCAGGTGTGTGTACCTGGTGTGTCAGCGAGGTGTACAGCAGGTATCAGGTGTGTGTACCTGGTGTGTCTGTGAGGTGTACAGCAGGTATCAGGTGTGTGTACCTGGTGTGTCAGCGAGGTGTACAGCAGGTATCCGGCCTGTGTGTGAATGACACCTTTAGGCTTCCCCGTACTTCCTGATGTGTAGAGAAGAAACAAAAGATCTTCACTGTCCATCGGCTCCGGGGGACAGACGGGGGACTGAGAGGACATCACCTGTAAGGTACAACAGGTAACTGCAGTACCTGCGATACCGATGGTACAACTGATACTGTAGGACAGGCGAGATGTCTCACCTGCTCCAGGGGGACGTCCAGGTGTCCCATCACAGCAGGGTTGTCTGTCCTCTGAGAGACGAACACGTGTTGGACAGTGGGACAGGTCTTCACTGCTGTGTCTACTGTGGACTTGAGGTTGATGAGTCGTCCGCCCCTCACACCTTGGTTACAGGTGACCACAGCTTTACAGCGGGCTGTGAACACAACACAGGTACAGGTGTGATGGGTTACAGCACCTGTTTACTGTCATTACATCAGAGTCCTACTGGGACCACCTGACATGATCTCCACTGGTTTCTCATACTGCTGGAAAATATGTTTCCAGTGGAAATACAAAACCTGAGGAGACACACACACACACACAGACACACACACACATCACCAGGCTGAGGTCACTCTGTTAGTTCACCTGTAGAGTTTCACCTGGTCTCAAAAAACATCCACTGAGGTAGTGACTGAGGACAGCTGCAGATACAACCTGATGTTTCAATATAAACAGTTTAACCATCAGTTCAATAATCATCAATAATCAATAACTGGATCAACAGATTTTTGATGATTGAAGTCGTTTTTCATGTGACAACATTTTTCCATTTTACATTGAACACTGGTCTGCAGCTCGGCAGGTGTCACACCTCCTCCTGCTCCTCCACCTCCTCCTCCTCCTCCTGCTCCTCACCTCCTCCTGCTCCTCCTCCTCCTCCTGCTCCTCCTCCTGCTCCTCCACCTCCTCCTGCTCCTCCTCCTCCTCCACCTCCTCCTCCTCCTGCTCCTCCACCTCCTCCTCCTGCTCCTCCCCCATCTCCTCCTGCTCCTCCTGCTCCTCCACCTCCTCCTCCTCCTGCTCCTCCACCTCCTCCTTCTGCTCCTCCTCCATCTCCTCCTGCTCCTCAGAGTGACAGGAGTGAGAGGATGAATCCATTCAGTTTGTCTCTGTTAAACTTCAATAAGTAAAGATACTGTTGTTGTTGTTGTTATTTGTTTGTTTGCTCTGATCGTAGCCTCAGTCGTGATGATGTCATGTTTTCAGGAGCTTTGAGGCGTCTTTGAATCCAAGTCATCAGCAGGAAGTTTTCTTGAGTTACCACTGAAGGAATCAGAGTCTATCTTTAGTTCCTGACCCACATACTGCAGCAGCTTCAACATGATCGCAGTTACAGCAGGAGTCACTTGAACTAACTCCTCTGAGGGGCTGTAACACACCGCCGCCATCGCCGCTCCTGCTCCCTCTGTTAACGTGTTTCTCTTCTCATGACTCAAACCATATGAGAACAGAGTGAATGTGACGTCACGTAGAGGAGTGGAGGTTGTGGCTGAGGTCTGTCTGTGTGTCTCCATAAATACCCTCACACACCCTGATGATCCTAAATAAAACATCCTGAGGTCACAGGCTGGATCCTGCTCTGACGCTGCAGCTGAGTTCACATCAGGTCACAGATCAGTTAAACTCTCAGCTCTGACTTCAGTTTTGTCTCCAGGCTACAGAAACTCAACTCTTCACACGGTTCAGGCAGCTGTATGTGTGCGGCACATTTCATCCACCAGAGCAACTCAACATCTTTTACACTGCAGTAAAATATGAAACATCACAAAGGACACAGATTTATGATAAAAGAGAAAAATAATATTAAAGGTCAAATTAACGGCTAAATGATTTACAGTTTAAAATATTATCTTTAAAACTGGTCAAGTTCAGACAGGAGGTGCAACAACAAAAAGATGATTTAAAAACATTTGAAAAGGAGTTCAAAGATAACTTTATAGTCGTTACCGGCGGAGCAGGCACTGTAAGAAATAATGTTTTTAGCTTCGACTTCAAAGCGTTCAGACTCGAGGCTGTCTGACAGAGACCGGTGTCATTCTGAAGTCGTTAAAAAAGAGCAACCAACGAAAAAAAGACGTTCTTTAACTTTGGCATGATACACAGCAAGTTGCCGTTATAGTTTAGTTGCCTGGCGTGTGTGTTGTTTAGCCAACACACACACGTGATTACGCTCAGATTATATTTATATTATTATTATTATTATTATTATTATGCTTGCAGTTGGTTTGTGTTTCTTAACTTGACTGATCTGTCGGCCTTTGGGTCGCTCCCAGACCCTTAACGAAGGGAGCGGGCCCTATGCAGACTTGATCCCTTGAAAAACCTGCTCCCACACCATGAGGAGGGTGCTGGTTTTAAAGGGACTGCCAGTCAGATATTTTATGTGTGGTACTGAGAGGAGGGCTGAGTTGACCCTGCCTTCACCCCCCGCTGCCCATCCCAAAGGGATCCTCAGGACTGCCCCGACATGAGCCTCAGCTGCCATGGAGCGGGGGGGGGGGGGGGGGGGACAGCCCTGACAGTACCTATGTGCCTTATTTATTATTGTGGGAGGGACTAAATAAATAAGCAAGCAACAAGGAAGGAATTTATACAATAAAAAAAAAACAGGGAGAGGAGAGACAAAAAAAAAAATAAGAAGAAAAACAAGTAAAAACAAAAATTGTGGTCGATGGGTCGAGTGTGTTGGTTTACATGATGGCAAAACAAACATAGACAGCAACATAAGAGGAGGGAAATAATAAGATAATGATATGGATAATTCATAGTATCGTTATATATTACACACCTTTATGTTTTTAATAACAAAAACCAACATTAGCGTTTCCCCCCCGATGCTGCCGGGTGCTGTTAAACTATAATGGCCGTCATGCCAACGTTAAAGGACAACTTTTTACATGGGTGTCTGACACTTAAAGTCACTGACCAAGCGCCAGATTTCAACGACTTCAGACCGAGACTGGCTGTGCTCTGTCAACCAATGTGCTCATATTTCATCAGCAGCCTTCTGAATAATCTGAAATATGTTTGTTATAAAGTGGCACACACACACTGCTGTAGTAATCTCTAATCTACAGGAAATAAAGGCGTGGCTGAACCTTCCAAGGTCTCACTCTGACTCTAGCTGTGGTCTTTAGATGGTAGCAGGCAGGCGACGGTACACATTTGTTGTGGCAGTGAAATTTAAACCTGAGTCCAGAAAGGGTTCCTGTGTGACTGTTGGAGGTGAGAGCTGACACTCTGTCCGTGGCCCAAATGTCACAGGGTCAGTTATTCAGCAGTAACATGTGAAACAAAGTCAAATGTACGTTTGTGATATTTAGTATAATTACACAAAACCTGTTTCAGTTGCTACCTAACACGCTTCGGCCTCGATATGTGGAATGACCCTCAGTTTCTGTCCCACCTATAAAGAGGTGTCTGCCACCTGAGATCCCCCCTGCTGCTGTTGTACTCCATGACAGAGGTGAGCCGCACTGCTCTCGTAGTTATTTCCGCGTTTTAGTGTTGTTAAGCTGTTTATAAGTTCATATTCATATTGGTTCAAAGTAATCTATAAAAACAGACTTGATGGGGGAAACTTTGACCCATGCTGATGAATATTTTAGAGCCGGGTACTGGCGACACAGACGCTGAGGTGGAGCCTGACTGTAGAAACTGTGGAACAATTTTTGGTGCACACCATTTTTGGCTTTTGTCCGTACGTACATTTTTAGTTTGGATCCTTCACACTGTTTTATAAATGAGACCACAGGTGAAAATGATACATTTATCTGTGTCATCTGCAGAATACGTTATTATTCTGTACAATTTGTACTAATTGAAGCAGGCACAGATTAAACAAGAGGAGTCCCAAAATCGACCCCTGAGGGACCCCACGTCACGGCCATCTGCTCTGACATTAGTTACCAATCAAGATAAAGTACTTCCTGTCACGAAGGTGTGACCTGAACCCTTTAAGGACAGTTCAGAGTCCGGCCCAGTATCAGGACAGTCCACCAGGTCAGAGCAGAACTTTGACTCTGGGTCTGTGTTCAGACAGATGTCATTTATCACACAGTGCAGCCTCAGGGCTGAAACAACTCCACTCAGCTTCAGAAAGTACAGAGGCATCAGGACTGCAGTTCTTCAGCAGAGGCTTGATGGCGGCAGGTCTCAGAGCATTTGCAAAAGATTGGAGGGCTGAACTGTGAGAGCGCTGCTCAGTACAGTTTTAATGAAGCCTGTCGTACGTCAGGGTGTTAATGTTCTGGAACAAACACTGAGCTGAAGTTTATCTCGCAGACTCTGCAGGTAGTTTCTGCACTACCATCATGCTCTGCAGCTCCTGCTGCTCAGCCGGCCGTGGAAATGTTCTGTTTGGGTTTGAAGGCGCCGGCTGTTTCCAAAACACACATGTTGAGTCCTTGAGCAGCGAGTGTGACCTCCAGAGATCTGATTAAACCAACAGACTGCTGAGAGCTGCAGCCAGAGGGGCGAGGCGTTCACTGTGGCTCAGGTGAAACCTCAGCTCCGTCAGACAAAGACAGCACTAATAAAGTTCATCATTTTAATGAGGAGACAAACTGTTAGGAAACATAAAGATACACTGAACTCTTATATATGACGGTCCTTTAAGAAGTGAGGGGCCTCAGGAAGAATTAAAGGGGCCTCAGGATCATTTAAGGGGCCTCAAGACCAGATAAGGGGCCTCAGGATAAGATAAGGGCCCAAACTGAAAGTTAAAGATTATTTTTTGGCCTCTGCCTTTCTTTGACTGAAAAGTTTAAGCTGAAAGGAGGAGACAAAGCCGATGGCGTGGAGTAAAGGGCCACAGGTCAGAACTGACAAGGACCTGGCGAGCTACCGGGCGCTGCAAAGTTAAATGAGATGTTCAGAGACATGGTGACCACAACACGGTCATGGTGTGATGTTAAATGGCTGTTTGGATCAGAGGAAAGTTTCTTTCTTCTTGTGTCTCTGTGGAAACGCTCTGTATCTGTCTCCGTGGTGTTTGGTGCTTCCCATCATGCTTGGGTGTGATCCTGTATTTTGGGCTCCAGCTGCTCCGACCTTCACATTGCTGCAGACGCAAGAATAAAAAGCTTCACATGAACTTCTGACTCTCAACATGAGGTTATGTCTGAGGTCAAGGAGCTCCTGCTTTGACTGGAAAGAGAACTTTAACTGACGTTCAGAACAGAGATGCAGCAGAGACAATAGAAACTGTGACGCTCTACAGTTTGCTTCAGAATCTCCTCCAATCAGCCCAGAGGAAAATACTGTCACTGTATGTTTCTGTAAACAACAGATAACGTCACATTTGTATGTTTCATACATACAGTACAGGCCAAAAGTTTGGACACACCTTCTCATTCAATGCGTTTTCTTTATTTTCATGACTATTTACATTGTAGATTCTCACTGAAGGCATCATAACTATGAATGAACACATGTGGAGTTATGTACTTAACAAAAAAAGGTGAAATAACTGAAAACATGTTTTATATTCTAGTTTCTTCAAAATAGCCACCCTTTGCTCTGATTACTGCTTTGCACACTCTTGGCATTCTCTCCATGAGCTTCAAGAGGTAGTCACCTGAAATGGTTTCCACTTCACAGGTGTGCCTTATCAGGGTTAATTAGTGGAATTTCTTGCTTTATCAATGGGGTTGGGACCATCAGTTGTGTTGTGCAGAAGTCAGGTTAATACACAGCCGACAGCCCTATTGGACAACTGTTAAAATTCATATTATGGCAAGAACCAATCAGCTAACTAAAGAAAAACTAGTGGCCATCATTACTTTAAGAAATGAAGGTCAGTCAGTCCGGAAAATTGCAAAAACTTTAAATGTGTCCCCAAGTGGAGTCGCAAAAACCATCAAGCGCTACAACCAAACTGGCACACATGAGGACCAACCCAGGAAAGGAAGACCAAGAGTCACCTCTGCCACACTGAACCAGCATGGCTACCACAGCATCCTGCAGCGACATGCCATCCCATCCGGTTTGCGTTTAGTTGGACCATCATTTATTTTTCAACAGGACAATGACCCCAAACACACCTCCAGGCTGTGTAAGGGCTATTTGACCAAGAAGGAGAGTGATGGAGTGCTGCGGCAGATGACCTGGCCTCCACAGTCACCGGACCTGAACCCAATCCAGATGGTTTGGGGTGAGCTGGACCGCAGAGTGAAGGCAAAGGGGCCAACAAGTGCTAAACACCTCTGGGAACTCCTTCAAGACTGTTGGAAAACCATTTCAGGTGACTACCTCTTGAAGCTCATGGAGAGAATGCCAAGAGTGTGCAAAGCAGTAATCAGAGCAAAGGGTGGCTATTTTGAAGAAACTAGAATATAAAACATGTTTTCAGTTATTTCACCTTTTTTTGTTAAGTACATAACTCCACATGTGTTCATTCATAGTTTTGATGCCTTCAGTGAGAATCTACAATGTAAATAGTCATGAAAATAAAGAAAACGCATTGAATGAGAAGGTGTGTCCAAACTTTTGGCCTGTACTGTATATTTCTACAGTGATGTAGTATCTGATCTGACTGTGTCATCAGCAGGTGGAGGAGATGGTGTGACACCGAGCTGCAGATCACTGTTCATTATTTTTGTATTATTCTAGTAGTTTGATTTGATCTGCCTCAGTAATGGTATTTTGTCTTTATCTTATTTTTATTGTTCTTTGTTTTTCTTGAAAATGTCACATTTTATTGGTTTGAATCAACATTGATTTGAATCCAGAACCAACCACGTAGAGCTCTTTGTAACTTTGTTTGTTAGTGTTTTATTAATAAAGTTCTTTGGCTTGTAATCAACCTGTTGCTGAACAGAACCTTATATAGAGCAATGCTGCAGGTGACACCATCCGCCGGCTGCAGTCCAGCTCACTGTTTTAGAGTGTTGCAGAGAGCAACACTCTAAAACAGTTTCATCTCGTCGTGAATCTTTGGTCTGAACTGGGCTTAAATCAAACGAAGCTGAGGAACCAGTGGAGAACGTCTCCAGAACAATACTGAGGCTTAAAGCATCTGTTTGTTATTGAGACATCGGGGCATTTCCAGCAGGGATGAACACGAAATTGTCTTTGATCAGTTCTGCAGGTATCTGGTCACAAAGTGTTGGACACATGAACACGTTGACCTGATGATGGTGCTGGAGTCAGAGGATCATTAAAGTTACTATAGTTTTGAGAGGAACATGAACACTGAGCCACATGTCATCACAATCATCCAGTACATGGAGAAATACGTCGGTAATAAACCTCATGGTGACAGGAAATGTGTCATCAAACCAAAACCAGGAGGCTAAAAAAGCTTCAGAGCTGCAGTTCCTTCAACATCCACCAGGTGCTGCCCCAGTAGAACCAGTAAACCCAGTCCCAGTGGAAGAAGACTCACCATCCTGGATCCTCCCTGCCAGAGCCTCCGAGCTGAAACCAGCAAACACCACCGTGTGCACCGCACCAATACGGGCACACGCCATCATGGCTGCCACCGCCAGCGGTGACACTGGCATGTAAATGGCCACCCTGTCCCCCCTCTGGATCCCATGGCTCTTGAGGGTGTTGGCGAGGCGGCAGGTGGTCTCCAGCAGCTCCCTGTTGAACAGACAGAAGGACACTGAGACTGATGGTGATGACATCATCCTCTGAAGGACAAGTCATGACAGCAGTGGTTTCCAATTGGTCCAGATTTGTCCTCGCGGTACATTCAGAATTATCCTGTGACACACCAGTTGGGAACCACTGAGCTACATGACAATCATATACACAACTCAGGTTCAAATAAATCAGAATTTCTTGAGATAACTCACGGCGTCCCCCAGGGTTCCTCCTTGGGGCCTATTTTGTTTTCTATTTTTATAAATGATTTGGGTAAAAACATTTAATCAAAATTACATTTAATAGCACTATAATCCTACAGTTTCAATTATCTGTTTCAGATGTAGCATTCCAGAGGGCACTGTGCTACACTGCATGAAAGGTGCAACATTTTGGTTTGATTTGTGTGATACACACTAGAATTATGTACATACCAATTAAATTAAATCCAAAAACAATTGTCATAAAGATCTAAAATAAAAACACGTCTATCCACTGATGAATTTAATGACATCATAAAGAATGTGGTGACAGAGACATGACGGTGTTTCTCTTGAGAGGTCGCTGTGTTTGAACAGCTGTTGTTGTTATACACTATATTTGTCACAACAGGTCGCTCAGTGGGACTTCCTGGTTAAATAAAGGTTAAATAAATATACAAATCCTTCTTAAAGATAAAAACAGCTGTGATGACCTCACAGTTCTGTTATGTGTCATATTTGACAATAACTTTGTTTTTTCTTCATCCTGACTGTAGTTATTCATTATCCATGAGTTAAAATTTACCAGCTGAATATACGTCTTCAGGTCTGTCCTTTACATTTATGGTGCTCAGATAACATCAGCACAGTATGGTGATAAGATAAAGAACAGTATCGTCTGCATACAGGGAGGATACAGGAACACAGGGCGGGTCTCAGTGTGTGCTGCAGGTCAGCTGTTCACAGGTGTTCGTACCTGTAGGTGACCTTCACCTCGGTGCCTGGCTCGTCTCGCTCCCAGATCAGAGCCACTCGCTCTGGATGTTTCTCCACGTGGACGTCCAGACAGTTAACTGAAACACACACAGACAGGACGAGTGTTCACAGTGTGATCGATATACAGATATCAGTTTACTGTCTCTTTAAAAACTTTCTGATATTCATCAACTCTTTAAAACATGATCTCAACCAGCTTTAAATGGAAATAAAAAACTCACCCACATTTATCACTGAGAACAGAGTTCCTGCCTCCTGTCAAACATTTGCTGTGAAACAACTGAAGATCAGAGGTTAGGACTTTGAAGCAGGATGTGGCGTTAGCATTAACTTCAGGGTTAACTCTGGACAAATCACCATGGTAACTGATGCTGAACAGCTGACCTGAAGCTAGTCCAACGTACCCAGGACCCACATCTTCCGTCTGATAACCAGTTACTACACAGCTGGTTATTAACCAGTTCAGTCAGCATTCATGTGAAAGAGGCAGGGCTATGTGTTACGAGTGACATCATAAGAAACATGAATGAAGGTGACTGAATACAACATACTTTGTCACACACATGCAGCCAGTGGAGGAGACACTGACATCAGGACCGTTACAAGCAGCAGCTAGAATCTGTGGGCAGTCTGTGGGTGAGTCTATGGGTGAGTCTGTCGGTCAATCTGTGGGTGAGTCTATGGGTGAGTCTGTCGGTCAATCTGTGGGTGAGTCTATGGGTGAGTCTGTCGGTCAATCTGTGGGTGAGTCTGTGAGTGAGTCTGTGGGTGAGTCTGTCGGTCAATCTGTGGGTGAGTCTGTGAGTGAGTCTGTGGGTGAGTCTGTCGGTCAATCTGCGGGTGAGTCTGTGTGTGAGTCTATGGTTGAGTGTGTCGGTCAATCTGTGGGTGAGTCTGTGGGTGAGTCTGTGGGTGAGTCTGTGGGTGAGCTGAAAGTGATCCCGTCTTCATTTAAGGCCCGAACATACTCCGGCGGAACGTATGCGGAGTGGACTCCGTGAGGAATGTCCGCAGTCATTCGGGCTTCCATAGTCGAGCGCACTTTCGTGTTGTAGTTTCCTGGTGCGTGGAGCGGAGTCCGCATGGTCGTAAAATCTGAGCTTTGCGGGCACAGGGCTTGCAGACGTCCGCTTTGAGTCCGCGTGGACGTCCGTGGAGTCCGTTCCACGTACGTTCCGCCCGAGTATGTTTGGACCTTTATTCTGTGATTGAACATTAATCCTTGAACAGGTTTACCAGCACAGATCCTGTTTGTGTCTCACAGCAGATTCACCAAAATCATTTATGTAACCAGAGAAGAAGAAAATCCTCCTGTCAGATCATCCTGCTGCTCACTGGAATATTATTGGATTACTATAAGACG